TCCAATTAACCACCAGAAAACCAGCTGTGGCATTGCAGCTCAAAGTGATAGAGTGCTCCCCTTAAGCTGAAGAGCTGAGGGGCAGCGCCCAGGCCCAGGCCCAGACCCAGGCCCAGGACTGACAAAAAAAAAAAAAGTGGTAAGAGCACCAGTGTTGAACAAAAGAGCTGGGGGACAGTGAGTAGGACCTGAGTTCAAGCCACACAGCTGACCAACCAAAATAAATAAAGAAGGGAATCAAGATCAGAACACATTGGCACAGCCCATTTTACAACATCAAAGCAGTTCTGATTTCCAAAACAACTAAAATTGTTTCTTAAAAGAAGTCTGTTTGTATGAAGAGTTTGCTTTGGTGATAAAACTATGCTAAAAATCATTTTAGGGTCTCATTTCAGTGACTCTAACACTGAGACCTAGAGCCACCACCAATCTGCCAATAGAGCACTCTGGCCAAAGGATGAGTGAGTGTGAATTATTGCCTGTGATATTTTTCTCTGTGGTGTCAACTTATCTTCAAATTTAGATAATGGGAGCGGGTACCAGTGGCTCACATCTGTAACCCTAGCTACTCAGGAGGCTGAGATCTGAGGATCACAGTTCAAAACCAGCCTGGGGAAGAAAAGTCTGGGTGAGACTTTTATCTCCAATTAACCACTCAAAAACTGGATGCTGTGTGGCTGAAGTGGTAGAGCACTAGCCTTGAACACAAAGAGGTTCAGGGACAGTGCCCAGGCCCTGAGTTCAAGCCCCACAACTGACCAAAATCCCATTTCAGTAGTGGAAGTCTGAAATACAATCCTCACTCACATACCTGAAATTCATGGTGAACCTTATGAATGTATTTGTATATCTTTTTGTGATGTAGGAGCCTGTGTAGGAAGTAATGCCAAGTATCTTCAATGACTGCACAGCCAAAGCACCTTGCCAAGATCATATACCTATAAGAGAAGGCAGCAAGCATTCATTAAGCAATCTAGACGCTGCACAGCAATGCTGGAGATGTTACAGAATCAATACATTTATTACATTTATCAACAAAAATTCTCAAAATACAGATATGGCCATTGGATAGAACTTGACATGAGGGGATACAGACCATTATTTTGTTTTCCCAAAACCCATACACATAAACTCATAGTTAAGGGGGGGGGAGGGGAAAACCTCTTCCAAGACAATAATTATAGAAAACAGACTAGGTGCCCCTCAAATCCAGAGCTTTATACAAAGCTATACAGCCCTTGCATATAGCCCAACACATCTTATGCAACGTTCTGCGTGTCTATGTGTGTGCCAGCAATGGGGGTTGAACACAGGCCCTTTAGTTCATACTGAGCTTTGTAGTTTTTTCCACTCACAGCTATGGAGATAAAGAGTCGCTTGGATTGATCTGTTCAGGCTGACCTTGAATTGTGATACTCACCTCTCAGCACAAGCCACCATCACCCAGCAAGATACAAGATTTTTTTTTTCTTTTAAAAATAACTTCAATCTGTAGCTGGTTGAATATGGGTATAGAATTCAAGGATACAGAAGGACAACTGCATCTGTACATTGGATATCTATATTCAGTTTTGCAAGGATACAATTTTATCAACTAACTATTGTCTTATATTTTTTATTCATTTTCACCTTAAATGTCATGCTTTTTTTTTCTTACAACAAGCACATATATCTATAGGCAATCATAGAAAGGTTGTTATGGAAATTTCTGAAGACACACTTTAGTAAAACAGTGCGCTGAAATCCGGAAAATAATGGGGACATTTTAAGTTCTCACGGTGGCTTCCAAACTTTGCAATAAACACGAACCAAATGCAGAAGATACACATTAAAAATAACTAAAATTGCCAGGCACAGGGAGGGGAGGGGGAAAGGGGGGGAAGGGGTGCTCATGTCTATCTTCCTACTCAGAAGGCTGAGCTCTGAGGATCACAGTTTGAGGCCAGCCTGGACAGGAAAGCCTATACAACTCTTACAAAAGGCAGAAGTGGAGCCATGGTTCAAGTGGTAGAGCTCCAGACTTGAAAAAAAAAAAAAAAACCTCAGGGAGTGTCCAGAACCTCTGTTCAAGCCCCAGGATTGGCACAAAACAAATAAACAAACAAAATCATGACTGATTAAAAAAGTCAAGTCAAATTGTTCTCAACATACCATCTTGGCATTTCTTGCCAACCATAAGGAATGTTGAAATATTCTGTAAAATAATAGGTTCCACAAATCAGGGGCAGCTGGATACAGAAGTGGTTAAAGACAAGTACTTTAAAGCATTTCCATTGGCCTTTGAATGTTTCTGGTTTATCCTACAAAGAAAAATAATATTCAACATTAGTCTCTGTTATCCTCTACAGTTTGGCTTGACAACTGTAAGAGAACACTGACTTTTTCTCCAGTATGCCTAACAGACCTTAATTCTGTGTTATGCTGATTTGATGTTATGGTCAGGCTAAGGTTTAGACTTACAGCATCCTCCCTGCTAAATTCTTGACAGCACCTTTTCGGACAGGGGAAGAGACAGCTGGCTCACCAACCCAGCTAGGACTCAAAAACAACCAAAGCTTTTCAGAACAGGTTTCCGGTCTCTGCTGCCATTTCTTTCTTACTTGGGGAAAAATATTCTATTTTAAAATTTAAAATTATGTATGTGGCTTTGTTACATTTCTATTGATTGGATAATACTAATTTCAAGAGTCCCCAAATCAAGCTACATTGCCTTTAACAATATTCAACAACATTACTTAGAATCAATTTCAAATCTATCAGACTCACCTTTTGAATTTTATATTTTTTCATAAAAGGTAAAAATTGAAATAAAAATCCAGGCAAAGAGAACAAAAAATAAAGGGCTTCATGAACTATCAGGGACCCCCACGTGGCGATCTGGAACTTGGTGTAGTTATCCAGCATGTAATTCCACGCATTTTTAAAGGGGGCTTGCAGAGGATTCTCGGGCAACAGTGAATCCATGTACTCCACCGCCAAAGCCGCAGAGCCAAAGACCGCAACACTGGCATTCACCGCCATGCTTCAAGTCTCCAAGGGAGCCTTACGGTTCTGCAAGAGCAAGCAGACACATAAGCCAAGCCAGGTAACTCTAAGGAACAGTTCTTGAAAGAATTTTTTTATTGTAAAGGTGATGATGCAGAGGGTTCCAGTTACACAAGTCAGGCATAGAGAACACTTCTTTACAAGCAGTCTCACCGTTTCCCTCTTTTTCTCCCAGTTTTTTCCCTCCTGACCCTCCTCTCCCCCTAGTTATGTAGTTCATTTCCAACATAGCATGTCTGAGTATCACTGCTGAGTATCATCCTCTGGGCCACCTTTTCCCCTCCCAAAATCAGATAAACATACACAAGATAAAGGGTACAGGGGGAAAAAAACAGTAACAGAAGGGAATAAACTAAAGAAAAAAGGAAAGAAGAAAAAAATCACAAACAGTACAATTTAAAAAAAAACCATCTTGTTTCCATTTCTTGAAGTTCATTGAAGTTCTTGAAGCATCCTTTTATATGATCATATGCACGTAGCTATTGAGCCTTTGAATGGTCCTCTTGTAAGAATATCCTCCTTTGGTCTGACTATGTAAATGTTTAGAGTCCTGCTTAATTTATCACATCAAGTGTAATTTTTTTTTTTGTCGGTGGTGGAGCTTGAACTCTGGGCCTGAGAGCTGTCCCTCAGCTCTTCAGCTCAAGGCAAGCGCTCTACCATTTGAGCCATAGCGCCACTAAGTGTAATTGTTTGTAAAGAACAGTTTCAAAATACAGCCTCAGCTCTTAAGAATTATAAACTAGTGCCAATTTCTCAGTTGCTAAATACATGATTGACAGAAAAGTTTGTTGAATGTCGTCATCATCTTCACTAGTAGATACTGAAGTAAAACTGTAAAAAAATATAGCGTAGGCTACCCAGTGACACCCCAACTCAAAAATCAAGTAAGCATTTAAGAGAGAAAAGGTTAAAAAGAAAGTAACTTCCTGAAAATGTTCACTGCTGTACCTTTTTTTTTTCCGGTCGTGGGGCCTGAACTCTGGGCCTGGGTGCTGTCCCTCAGCTCTTCAGCTCAAGGCTAGTGCTCTACCACTTGAGCCACAGCACACTTCCTGCTTTTTCTCTTTATGTGGTGCTGAGGAATTGAACCCAGGGCTTCATGCATGCAAGGCAAACATTCTACCACTGAGCCACCTTCCCAGGCCCTGTACCTAATTTATGAATTAACAATGATCCATTTGAGTCAGACGCAGGTGGCTCACACTGTCTGACAGCACTCAAGGAGACAGTGTGCCGAGAAAAAAGAAAATCTCAACATTCCTTTCCAGAGAAAAATTTTCCTATCCCAGCACAAGGGAGGCTGAAGAAGAAGGATTAGGAGTTTGAGGCCAGTCTGGGTTACACAGTGAGACCCTGTCTCAAAAGAAAAAAACAAAAAGAAAGTCTCTTAATCTCTAGCCACTGTTGAGTCAAGATGGTTAAGCCTCATCTCACTAACCCTAACCCACCAACTTCTTGGTCATCAAGTGCCAATTCCTGCCAAATACTGGCAGCTCACACCTGTAATCCTAGCTACTCAGAGGGCTAATCTGAACATTGCCATTTGAAGCAAATTTAGGCAGGAAAGTTGATGAGACTCTTATCTCCCATAAACTACCAAAAAAAAAAAAAAAAAAAAAGCTGGAAGCTAGCTGGTAAAGCGCTAGCCTGGAGCACAAATGCTCAATGACAGTGCCCAGCTCCTGAGTTCAAGCTCCAGGACCAACAAAGAAAAGGGGTGACTCCTCCCCTATGTCCTCACCCACACTAATTGGCCTTCAAAGTTGCAAAACCTGACAACTGCTCCAATTTTCATTTTTCTTGAGATTATCACAAATTTGGCAATGTTGACTCACACCTATCAGTCACGTATCCTGGAGCAAATTATATAACCCAAGTGGCAGTTCTATAAATAGGAATTCCTCCATATAAAGTACAAGACATCACAGGTGGCTCACACCTGTAATCCTAGCAACTCACTAGGCTGAGATCTGAAAACTATGTTTCAAAGCCAGCCTTGGCAAGAAAGTCTGTGAGACTCACCTCCAATAAACTAGCAAAATGCCAAGTGTGGCAAATAAGCCAAGAGAAGGCCCCGAGTTCAAGCTCCAGGAATGGTTTAATTTATTTATTAAAAAGTAAAATCAAAATAAAGGAGTACTCCCTGAGCACTATTTCCCGAGCTTTTTTCTTAAGGCTAGCACTCTACCACTTGAACCACAGCTCCACTTCCAGCTTTTTTGGTCGTTAATTGGAGATAAAGGGTCTCACTGACTTTCTTGTCCGGGCTAGCTTCAAACTGCGATCCTCAGATCTCAGCTTTTTGAGTAGCTAGGATTAGAGGTGTGAGCCACCAGCGTGTGGCCTCTGAAGAGTATGCTATAGAGCTGTCTCCATCTTCGCCCATATATATATTTTTGAGGGGGGGTGGGGCCGGTCGTGGGGCTTGAACTCTGGGCCTGGGCACTGTCCCTCAGCTTTTCAGCTCAAGGCAAGGACTCTACCACTTGAGCCACAGCACCACTTCCCATTTTCTATGGCTTATTAGAGATAAGTGTCTCATGGACTTTCCTGCCCAGTATGGCTTTGAACCGTGATCCTCAGAGTAGCTAGGATTACAGGCATGAGCCACCAGTGCCTGGCTATAGTTCTTTTCTAGAACTGCAATCTGTTTTCCTTCCCATCACCCAGCTGCACTTACTCTCATCGAAACTCAACAGATGTTTTTGCATCTGTTTTGGGTCCTGGGAATTAACTAAAAGCCCTCCAACTTTTTATCTGTGCCCCCTGCTCTGAGCTATTCTCTGCTGTGGTCCCTTTGTCTGCAGAATAAAAGAGAAGATTCAGTGATAACCATTTTGTGTGGATGGCAAACCATCCCTCAAGCAAGTAATTCCTGTCATGTTAAATCAAACAGCCCCAAACTCGGGACCATCTTGTTCCTGTTCTGTTCCAGTAATAAAATTACTAACTTCTCAAAACTCAACCAAGCCACACAGCTCTGACCAGGGACTGTTTTAACCACAATACCTTTCCCACTCCCTGTCCTCAATTCTCCCTATTTAACCTAAGGCCAAAGACAACGAAAGATGTACTAGTGCTGTCTTCCCATCATCATTTTGTGATTTTTTTTTTTGAGATTTCTCTTTAGTTAGCATATAGGGGACCGTGACTGGACCTAACTTGGAACTCCTGGATTTAGAGCCCGGGGTTTAAAGACCAAAACCACTAAGGATCACCTAAATGCCAAACCCTGCAAACATTACTCCTTCCTCTCTCTCTCTCCTTGTTATTACCTTCCCTTCTCTTCCTTTCTTCCACACTCCTTAGCTTCATACAAGGAAGGATTTCCACACATTGTACATAACCAATATTCTTTAGAGTCCATTTTACCCAAACCATCTCGAACACTTGATACTTCTCTCCTTGATATTCCTTCTTGGTTCCTGGACATTATAAATATGACCTCTGTCACTAGTTACTACTCTCTACTCCTCAAGTAGCTGTTCTTACCCCGACTTCCCCAAACAGAAAAGGTAGTGAAGAACACAGACATAATCAAACCACCATTCTATGATGGGACAAGAATTATAGAGGAGAGAGAATACCAGGACTCCAGGGCACAGAGGAGCAGAGAAATTGTCGAGAAACGTGCTAACTACACCGGAGCTCTGAAGCCTGGAGCCTGAGGGTACCGTGATCAGATCACAACAGTCACTGGGGAGTTACAGGAGATGTTGTGACCCAGGTAGCACTAGATCAAAGACTAAACCAGGAAGACTTGCCAACTGAATCTGGAAAGTTTTCAAGGGACACTTTCCCTTACTCCCTTCTAACTATTGTACACGACCTATTTCCTGTTTTAAAGTAAGCGGACGGCCAGCTTGCTTCCACTCGGGTTCTCGCTGGGTGATGGTGGTGGCTCAGGCCTGTAATCCTTGCTACTCAGGAGGCTGAGATCTGAGGATCACAGTTCAAAATCCGCCCAGGCAGGAAAGTCCATGAGACTCTTACCTCCAATGAAAACATCACTGTGGCTCAAGTGGTAGAGAGCCAACTTTTTTTTATTTTGGGGGGGGGGGAAGCTCAGGGGCGGCACCCAGGCCCAGAGTTCAAGCTTTGGGCCCGGCTCCGGCGCGCACACACACGTACGCATGCGCACACGCACACACTTCCAGAGTGTTCAACACCGACCCTCTCCACCCAGTGCAGACCAGGCCCAACTTCAACCCACACCCGGGACGTTCCAGCGAGCGCGTCCTCCAGGCCCGTCCCCAATACTCCCGCAGCCCACCCGCGTCGCCATGCCCGACACCGTCCCCGCTCCCCGGAGGAAAGTCTCGCGGGCGGAGACGCCCAGGGCTGCGGGACGGATGCACCTGCCTCTAAGACCCACCTCCCCGGCAGGACCGGCCGGGTCCGCGGTGAAACAGTCAGTCCTGGGCCAAGGGTCCGACTCCCGTCCCCGATCCGCGGTGCCCCAGAGGCCCGGCCAGGCCTCCCTCACCCCGCGTCCCCCGCCGCCATCCTTCCGAGGTCCAGGCTTCCAGCAATCCCGCGCGGGCTAAGCAACTCCTATTCTTCCCTCAGGAACCTCGGGCTCCCGGCCCCGGCAGCAGAAACACGCCTCCTCCCCTCCCCCGCCCCGGCAGGGCCAACCCGAGTCCCACCACTGAGTGTGACGGCCGAGACTTCCAAGCAGTCGGCAACCTCGGCCGCCCGGCCCGCCCGCCGGCTTCCCCGCGCCCCAAGTCCACTCACCTGCACGGCCGCGAGGCCACCTCACCCACGGTCACCCACCACGAGCAGGTGCTGCCGCCTCACACCCTACTTACCCCGGACCGGGGGTGGAGCCTAGAGGGCACGGCCGGTTCGTTTTTCCGTTATTGGCCAGCCTTGTCTCCAGCCCCGCCCGTTCGACTCGGTGATTGGCCAGCACCATACCGGCAGCGTGTGACTCACGTTAACTAATACCGGGCGGTGCCAGCGATTGGTTCCGCGGATGGAGTGAGCATAGTGAGACCCTGGAATCCGACCAATGGTCGGCGCCGTCGCACATCTGGAGGAGGGGACAGCGCGAGCGCGCGTGACGGCGCGAGGGGGCTGGACGGACACCGCCTCGGGCTTCCCCCCGCGTCGCCTAGGCAACCCCGGTCCTCACCCCACGGAGGCCCGGACCCGCCGGGTCTTTGATGAATCCTCCTAATGGAAGATGGATTTCAGAGGCCCGGCGAATTCTGGCGGGAGAGAACCGCGAGCGCGCAGGCCCGGCACCGAGGCGGGACGCGCGTGCGCCGTGGCCCAGGCCCGCTCCGCACCCTCTCGGGGCGTGCACGGGTGTGCTCCTCCCGTGGATGAGCGCATCGCGGGTGGATCGCAGCCTTTGATACCATCTCTAAAGAGATGTTTTTAATTGCATTGTTAGGCAATGAAGCGGGCAGCCGAGGAAACGAGCACCGCGCGGGAAAGGCTCCCTCCCCGACTGCAGGCCGCCCCAGGCCAAGCCCGCCCTGGATGTGGGGGTGCACCGCCCAGGACGAGCCTCCAGACCCCCTCCTCCCCAGCACGACGTCGGCGGCGGGCCGTGGCAAGGATGTGAAAGCCCAACCTTTCACCGCCATCGAGGACTCTGCTTGACTACCTCAGCTACGAGGCGCTCACTTCCTGATGGCACAGGTGACTCACGGTGCCCCCGCCCCAAGCCTGCTGTCCTATCAAGTGTGCACCAGGAAGAACATAAGGAGGAAAGGGGAGGACTTGGCGGGGGGAGGGGGGGAAGGGGACCTGGTGGTTCACACCTGTACACCTAGCTACCCAGGAGGCTGAATGAGGATCACGATTTGAAGGCAGCTTAGGAAGAAGAATCGGCGAGACATCTCCAATTAACCACCACCAAAATGCTACAAATGGAGCTGCGGCTCAAGTTGGTAGAGTTCCAGCTTTGAGCTAAAAAGCTAAGGGACAGTGCCCAGGTCCTTAGTTCAAGCCCTAGTATCAACACTGTGCACACACACACACACACACACACACACACACAATGAACATACATCGTGATCAGACTTACTAGGCTTAGCCATTTACTAGTAGTATCTGATACGTGAGTGTTCCTTGTAAGCTAAGGGTGTAGCTTCACAGTACAGCACTTGCCTACCATCCCTAGCAATTCACACACACACCCCACACATATACATCGGCTCAACCTGCTCAATGCATGTTGGTTACTATTGCTCATTTAGAATTCTACCGGGATTGTATTTTCTAAATCAAAGCAGAAGTCTGTGTGGAAGGGTCCCATACCCTGAAGATGTGGAGCTGGATGGGAATGCAGGCAGAGGTCTTCCACGTTTACAGCAGTGAAGAATTGGTAGGCTCAGAAAACAGCAACACTGTAACTTAGAGGGCTCTGTCTTTCAATCACATTTCACAAGCAGTATTTTTCCCCTTGTCTCTTGATAACTTTGTAAGAGGTATAACACTACTGTTGTCATTTTAGTGGTGACAAAATAGGGTAAAGAGTTAATACACTGAAGAAGCCACAGCTAACAACTAGTACTCAAGAGCAGAACACAGATGACTTTCCCAATACTGCAGTTTTTCCTTCTTTTAAACTGTTCAAAACCCAGGATTAATTTCCCAGAACCTTTGTATGTGTGTGTGTGTGTGTGTGTGCCAGAACTGAGGCTTGAACCCAGGTCTTGGTACTGTCCCTTAGTTTGTAGATTATTTGGAGATAAGTCATATACCTCATATCTGTGTGTGCTAACTTCAAGCCAGGACTCAGATCTCCACCTAAGTAGCAAGCATTACAGGCCTAATATGCCACTGGCGCTCAGCTAGAACCCCAGAATCTTGAGGGTTAAGTTTTCCCATGTAGACTTCTCTCCAGAACAAAGAATTAGCAGTCATGAAAGTCAGTAAGAGGCAATTTTCTTAGGACAAATCTTGAACAAGACAGTGTTCCTGCTATGCCGCTGAGATCACAACTATCAAGGGCCTCCGTAGTAACACAACTCATGGAGATAAATGCTGGGAATTGTACACCAGAGGCACATGGAACAGGAAAGAATGGGAGCTCTTGGCAGCACACACGCCAGGTACCTGACCCCAGATTCAAGCAAAGGAAGGCAGCAGGGATCCAGCCTTGAGCCCTGCTTCTATCTGTTTTCTTGACAAATACTCTTTGCCTCAACATATGATCTCTTTTTAATACAGTAAGAAAATTAACTGCTAGGAAGACCTCATTTTGCCGCAAAAACATAAGACATTTCAAACTTGACCAACTGCCATAGGGTTAGGAAGATTATATGTCCAAAGCATGTAAAATCAAAGTTATGTGTCCGGCTATTGACAAGCCCTGGCAAAGCACGGCATGGCTATTTCCGCTTCAAGGAGATTAAGACGTGTGTTTGATGTGTCAAGTAGTTCAGATTTTGTTACCCTAGACTGAAATTTTATTTCAAGAAAATCTTTTTAGATACATCTTGGTAAGATTGTTTTTCCTGGAAAATTAAGTGTTTATAAGTATGAAGTACACTTGGTCTTGACCCAATACCCCCCGGAATTTCCTGCTAACAGGAGTGTCCTGTTTCTCACTGAGCCTCCTTTGATCAGAGGAGTTCATGCTAATAATTTGGGCTGGAGTCCTTGCCACCTGCAGAAAGACCACGTGCATGTGGATCTGAGGTTAGAACTCTGAGCGCCAACCCAGAAACTTCAGGGAAGTGGGAGACTACAAAGGCAAGCTCTCTATGAAAATGCCGGAGTAAGACAAGATAACCTTCTGGCTTGTAAGCATGTGAAGGTGGTGGAAAGGTGGCATGAAATTAAAACCAGAGAGGATGGGCACAGAATCTGGCGTGGTACCCAGCGGTCACAAGTACCAATGGCTTTAATGCCCTGCCCAGCCAAGTACAAATGAGCCAGTGGTACACATCTGCAAATGGCACGCTTGGTGTGGCTGAGCCCACAATCCAAGGGATCTGATACTCTCCAGGTAGGTTCCCAGGAAGACAGCGCCAGAACCAAGTCCACACACACCTAGTCCTGAAAGTGCTGGCCAAGGAGAGATGAGGACCTCACGTTCCAACAACAGTTGAGAGAACTCCAATGAAGTAACCTATTTCATAATGGAGGTGACCTATTCCAAACTGACCAGCCAATCTGTTAACAATGGATTTGTGGTGCAGCCACACGAATGGGAAATTCGTATTTCAAATGAAGTTGGGTTTTCATTTATAATGAAAAAGTCAACTGTGTGACATGGTTCTGTTTCAATTTGAACAATCTATATTAAAATGTTAGCATACATTTCTTTTTTTATTTTAAGGATTTCTTCTTTTGTTTTTCTTTTTTGTTGGTCCTGGAGCCTGTACTCTGGGGCCTGGGCACTGTCCTTCAGCTCTTCAGCTCAAGGCTAGTGCTCTACCGCTTGAGCCACAGCACCACTTCCGGCTTTTTTTGTTTGCTTATGTGGTGCTGAGGATTTCAACCCATGGCCTCATGTTTGCTAGGCAAGCACTCTACCACTGAGCTACCTTCTCATCCTAGCATACATTTCTTAACTCATGATCATCAACTGTTTTGTGAACAACTCATACTAACCATTTAAATCCCTCTCCTGAGGAACGCCACATCTCATTAAGACAAGAAACTCAATCTATAGATTTGTGAAGTTAGGCAATGCACACTTAACACAAGGACAAAAATATTCAACAGGCAGCTTTCTGAATAGTAAGCTAACTAGAAAAGAATAAAGAACATTGTGGAACAAATAATATACAAACTTTTATTCAAAGAGAATTCAAGAAAGACATGTTTTGGTCATCTTTAAAGTGAGATTCGTTGATCTCAGAAAAACTGTATCTGATCAGCATATGGCTACTCACAGAAAGCTCTCGTCTGTTAATAGCAGCTAAATTTATACACACAGAAAAATTCTTAAGACCATGCAAATTCAGTTAAATTCCATACATTCATTATATTCATCAAAAACCTGCAGGTATGTTCATGCCAAAGTGTTACTTTAAGAAAATAAACATAAAAACACACATCAAAACATGACCAAGAATAAAGTAAAGAAAATAATAAATAAGCATAATTTATATTTTATTTTAAAAAGTTTGGCATCACACATATTCAAGTGTGTTACACCAGATCCATTCCTCAGAAGTGGCATGATAAAGTGTTAAGCATTGTTAAATATCAAAAAATACAACTCTGTTTTACAATGTGGTACTGGCATAATTCAAAGTACTGTGCCGATTATAAATAGTATAATCAAGTTTCAAACATGTTTTCAACATATTTAAAGGAAAGCATATAGACACACATTTATATGCACACAATTTATTATATTCATGTAATCAAAGATATTTAGAAAAGCAAACAGTTTTATCCCTCCACTACTTCATATACTTACGTTGATTCTCAGTATCTGTTCAAAGATTTTCAGTTCCTGGGTATGCAGATTTTCAGGAGAGGGAATAAAGGTAAAACTCAATTTTACAAGAACACACATTAGCTTTATTCTCCTTCACAAAAGAATCCATAGTCTTTCAGAGCTGATAAGGAATGGTCTTTATGAAAGCGACTGTTGGCTAAAGACTACAGAGTCAGTAACTGCAGTCCAGATTTCTTAGGAAAATTCAGTCAGCTGCTGCTCCTTGCAGAAAAAGCCTACACGGTGCTTCTGCCAAAATTAATCTTCAGGATCCGAGGCCTCTAAAGGCAGACGATCATAGCTTCTGCTGAGACTCAAAGTGCAGCGACAAGTGGAGAAGTGCTAGATTCTCAGTCACTTCAGAAATACTTGAAGCCTGCTTCTCATGTATAAATGTGCCAAAAATGT